ATTTCTAGCTCTTTTTATTGGTGATGTATTTATAGACGTTTGGAGGTTATAAAGTCAACAGTGTTTCCACTGGTTTTCAGAGATTTTCAGAACTCAAGCTATCTGGCAATTTTCAAATTATATTAATGTCAAGAGTGTCCTTCCAAATACGTTCTATTCATTTTCAAGAATGGATAGAATTAACCGGCTAACTCCAGTTTCTCTGTGGGTCTAATCCCTGTTTCAGCACTTAAAAGCTCAGTGGACATCCCTATATCCTTCGATGAGGCTGCATTATTTGGTTACCCGTTGACTCTACAGGGGGGGTCCTATGCATCCACTGGCTCTCAGGCTGGTCCCGGAGAGGGAAAAGACTCTGGTTCTGTATCAGTTGGTCCTGATGTCTATCTTCATATTTGCTGCCTGGACACAGTGCCCGATTTCCAGTTCCTGGAATCCGGTCTCCTAATGCTCAGTGCCGAGGTCTTGTTCCCCTAAGAATGAGTCTGGATTTCTGTTCCTTCCTCCTTTGCTGTACTCAGCTTTTCCACATTAACTTAGAATACTTGCATTCCCTTGTCAATATGAATTTTGTGTCATTTTTTAGATGATAAACATCAGGTTCCTTGATCTAACAGATCTTCTGGCATTTTCTGGCTGCTCTGTCTTGTTTTTCTACCCCTTCTCCCCAACCCAAGTTGGACAGTGATGCTCAATGTTTAACTTCACTGACATCTGCAAACCAAGCTTGGGGTTTGCAATGGAAATGCTCTTTCTACCCCCACCACAAAAGAGGAGAAGATTTTATTACTAACATTTTTTAAGGGTTTCCTGGGCAAGATGATTTTTAAAAATCAACTTCTATTCATTTTATTATTTTAAAACTATATTGCCTATTGCCCACTGTTCCATTCTTGGTATGTTGTTTCTCCATAAAAAGAATTAGGAGAGAAGATGCTACTGGTTTCTGACAAAAAAGGAGGATGGCAGATGGGAGAGTCCGCAACTTTTTTTTTTTTTGAGAGAGCGAGCGAGTGGAGAGAGAGGGGCAGAGGGAGAGGGACAGAGAGAATCTTAAGCAGACTCCACACCCAGCATGGAGCCCAATGTGGGGCTCGATCTCACGACCCTGAGATCACAGCCTGAGCTGAAATCAAGAGTCGGATGCTCAACTGACTGAGCCACCCAGGCGCCCAAGAGCCCCCAACTTTTAAATGCAGCTTCTCAAAACTCTGAACTATTTGCTACTAGAAGGGAAGTGGGAAGATTTGGGCAACGCAATCACAGAACTTTTCTTCAATAGTTGACAGCCTAATTCTAGTTACTGATCCTGCAACATAGTTTTAAAACCAGTTCCACTTTTTCTTTTTATTATTTTATCTTTGTCTAGATAACAGCCCAGACTTGTGAAAATATTATAGGCTTTTAGAATCAGATAGAATCAGCTGTAGTTCAAATTCTGATTTATGAGTCACACTGTCTGGATTATTTAACCTTTCTCAATGGACATAATGAAACAACCCCACATGTTAATCATGGGAGATTAAGTGAGATGATTTTTCATTCTTTTGTCAGCAGCACTGGGTGCACTGTTACACACATACAAAAACGCTCAGATAGTCACATATTCACGCTCAGGTAGGTCCAGACGCACCTGGCCGAGAGCTAACAAGGACAGCTCCCAAGGACATTCACTCCTACTCCTATTCTAAGCACTTTGCCCCTGTCAGCTCACTGAAATACAACGGGAACTCTGGGCTGGGGACATTTAGTATCTTAACTTTACAGGGGACAGAAATGGAGAAATTGCAGTTTAAAAAGTCTTTAAAGGTGCAAAGAAGAGATGTCTAAGGAATACATTTGAGATAGCACTGGGGTGTGGTACCCTCGGCTCAAAGGAATGAGAGGAGCATGAAGGGCTCCCTAACCCTTCTTGCTTCTCCCTTATTTCTAACCAATGGTCTTGCCAGAGGCAAAAATATAAAATAAGGCAAAACCCTCATTAGGTTGCTTCAATATCCAATGCCATCATCATCATCATCATCATCATTATCTATATGCCAATAATAAGAAATTTAGAATTGCCGGTTCTTTGTTCATCCCCGATACCCTATAAAACCTAAAGAGCAAAATATTATACAGCGCACTCTTTATGTTGACTTTTTACTAAATATTTGCTTTTCTAATTATAAGAGGATCAAAATTATAACCCATGCTTCCTTCAATTTACCTAGCTTTTATTTAGTATTCATACACCTGTAACATCTTGGCAGCCAAGCATTGTAAAGGCTTTAATTTTCCCCATGCCTGAAATAGGCATGGTAAAATCTATAGCTCTCTCTTACACCTCCTTCTGTATGGAAGGTGTGTTTCTCATTATGGCCTAATTTAGCTGAATTCTACCCCTGGAATTATAATCTATCTCTGCATCATCTTCCCTAACGATAGGTAAACACGGAATAATAAGATGATCAAGAAAAGGACAACCATCAATTTGGAAAGTAGAGTCTCACTGGGCAGGAACAGACTTTAAATGCCCCCCTGTGGGGCACTCTCTCTAGGTTTTTCCTGGCATTCAGTTCCACCTGGTTTCCTTTCACATTTCTAACGTAAAAATGGGCTCCACCGTATTTTTCTCTGCAGTATGATTATTCCACAAATATTTTAAATGTACTTTAAGTCCAGCAAGTACTTATGAAATCAGTGGGTGTATGGTCCTTTAAAAATTCTACTTTGGAATTTTTTTTTCAATAGCCATTAAAAATCTAGCAGATAGCTCATGGTATAAAACAGCACTGTATAAATTTTCTAAAAAAATTAGCTAGTCTATTTATGATGATTAGAAATCTCAAATTAGGCATGTAAGAGGATATCTAATTTATATTCCTCCTAATGCATTTCCTATAAGGTACATTGTTTTATCCTATGCAAGGGTAATATTCTCTCTTTATTTTGTCTTTCCCTCTCTCTGGCCATGTCATCAACACTCCTGCCTCAGCACATAACATGTTTCCTTGTCTGGACCCTAAACTCAACACCCATAAACCTGAGTAAACATGAAAACTGCCTCAGACACCTATTCAAGATACAGACGGATGTTAAAAACACCTGGCCTTGAAATTGTATTACTTTATACATTTATCGCTGAAATTTCATAAGCAAGTTCTGTTTAACAGAATTTGTGAACCAGGGAATGTTTTGTTTATACATGAAGGATGGAAAGCCAGTCTTGAGTATCGGGGAAATTGTAAATCCACTTTGTAAGTTAAAACTGGCTGATGGTTATGTATCACTATATGGAACTGTCCGTGGTGTAAAAAACATACAGAAAAATCTGAGGATCCTGCAGGATATTGCCATGCATTTTTTGTGTGTGTGTGTGTGTGTGTGTGTGTGAGGTGTCCTAGCTTACCTGAAGGGAAAGGAAACTTGATGTCTGTGAAATCCGTATTCTTAAACCTTGAGGCTGTTGTGGTATCCTCAGGAAAACACCACATTTCTTCTTTTCTCAAAACCTGATGCTTATATTTAACTTACGGATTCCCTCGCTTTTCCAAGGAAGACTCTATTTATCTGCTTATCACTCTCATTCAGTTGTAAGAGTTTAGGGCCAAAATAACATGACTACTTTAGGCCAAGAAAGCTATCACAGCAAATCAGGGGTTCACAGAGGAAGGGGACTGGTCGTTGCTGAGATTAGTGCAGTCGAGTCCCAGCCTGGAGAAAGCAACGCACTGGCAAATTCAGGCCAATCGCTCTACTTCCTGGAAATGACTGAGTGTAACAGTGACAAACTCATTGTAGTGTCTCTCTGGTTTAGGATCAGACTTCCGGCTACCTCTATCATAAATTATATAACAATAAATTATAAGGAAGTTGAAGATAATTTATAAGAACTCATTTTGTACAAGGCAAATCCCTCCTATATACCGCACAGTGAATGTTCACCCCTCCGAAGGGACTCACTAAAATATTTAGCACTGGCTGCATGTTATACATAATGGAACTACAGAACATGTTTCTCTAAAGGAGAGACACCTTAATGAAAACACCCTCTGGGATAATAAGATGAAACTACAATGTTTCTTTCCAAGTCATCTTATGTGTAGATCATACTATGACACGAAGGAGCAGTTTAAATGGATTAGTAAAGAGAAAATAAAAGCCTACAGTTCACTACTATTTATACTAAAAGCACTTTCTGTCCTTTATATTAAAAAAACCCACATACCCCAACATTGTGTAATCATGTGAAATTATGAAAAGTTACAGAGTTATTCATTAGGTAGATATGAGGCTGAATCACTCAAGAGATTGCTCTGATTTTAGTAAGAAATTCATCAGGAGTTCAACAAATCAGACCCAAAAAATGGTGATGGGTAACTATTTTCAAAGTTCTTCCACTATTTAGTTGGACAAATTAAAGTGCTTCCACTAAAAACCACTGGTCATTTGGTAATAGCTAGAATATTTACAAGTATTCCTTCAGAATTAGAGGGACCTACCTTATTTGACAATGCAGTGCAAAAACAGATTAATCATCATTTAACTGATAATGCAATGCATATTTTAACATAATTTACTTCTTCTTCTTAACTGTCAAAGGAAAATTCTTGGTTTATATTGGAATCCTGTTCTCTAAGAAAGACTAATTATGTTTGAAAAGTTGCCTAGAGCTCAGCAATTTAATTCTGTAATAATAATGAACTTGAAGAATTAGCTCTACAGCTACCAAGTTTTATTTAAAAAAAAAACTGCATCCTAGCAATTTAAGATAATTTATGATTAAAAAATATTTGTGGATGTTGCTGGAGTGGAGGGGGGTGGGCGGGATGGGGTGGTTGGGTGATGGACACTGGGGAGGGTATGTGCTATGGTGAGCGCTGTGAATTGTGTAAGACTGTTGAATCTCAGATCTGTACCTCTGAAACAAATAATACATTATATGTTAATAATAAATATATATATATACACACACATATATATAAAATATTTGTGGATGAGTAACTAAACCCCTTTACCTTATAAATATCCAAAAATCCACACTGGTGGTCAAACCTGGTGTACAGTTCATTCAGCATGCTGATCACCTGCATGGGGGTGCACTGAGCACAGATGGCTGTGAATCCAACAATGTCCGAGAAGAGCATGGTGACGTCGTCGAACTTCCTGGCCTGCACCTGCTGTCCTTGCCACAACAGCTGGGCGACGTCACCAGGGAAAATAGAATACAGAAGATCGACTGTTTTCTTTTTTTCTTCTTCCAGGGCCTGGTGAGTTCTTTCCAAAGTTGCCTTTAATTTATCCATCCTCTTCTTCAAGCCATCCTGTGCCTTTGCCTGCTCACCAACCAGAATGACGTCTCGGGTGGCATCATGGATCGGGATGTCCGAGAGATGCAGCCCTCGGCCCATGAGTTCGTCCAACTTGTCCACGCACGGAGAGCCCAGGAATAAGATGGAATTTGATTCTGGGACATGGATCATCTGTCCTTTGACTTCCATCACCTGCAGAAGGAACATGAAATTTTAATCCGTGCTCTTCTTCACATAGTAGGTTCACAAAAATTTAACTTACTATCTGATGAGGAGGAGCAAGAAATGTACCATGAGCTATGCTGAATTTCTGCATCTGTAGGAGCAAATTTCAGTATGGTTTACAGCCCATGTAAAATTCACCGTTCTGAATGGAAATCTTTGTTACCACACCCCACTTTGCCACTTTTTGAAGACAATGATGAAACAAAGAGTGAGATCAATGAGAAATGAACCTGGGAAACATGTTTTATTCAAAATGAAATTACACTCAAGCACAGCACGAAACAGGCTCGTGAGTCAGTTTAACACCTTTCGGCCTGCTTAATAATAAAATTAGGACAAATCCATCTGTCAGAACAACTACAGTCAACTGTCATTAAAATAACACTCAGGAAAAAAAGTCCAGAAGATTAAAATAAATCAAAATAATTGTTTGGCCTTAAGTAAGTCATTTTTCAAGCAGTTTGTAGACCTTTGAATATACAGTAGTTCTTGCACTGACTAGGGAATGATTCACTTAATCTTAAAAATAAAAATTTAAACGAGACATGATAAGTCAGGATTATGAGGAAGCAACTATCAGTCAACTGGCATGTTCACTATAAGCTGAAAATAAACCCCCAGGTCAGACTAGAACTAAAGGAATTCAGGTAAGAAGATAAAGAATCTGAAGAGGGTCCCTCCTTTCTGTGCTCTTCGACTGGAGAACTTGGGGGACTGATGTTTCGTGTTTTCCCTTAGGGAACAGACTGATGCTATCTCAGCTTGGTGCCCTACGAGGCCCTCCAAGGCAAGGAGCAGCCGCAGGAAAGGAAGCACACTTAGGATGTGTCTATACAAATACAGTTATCTGGGTCAGAGTAGGGTATCTCAGCACACCTGGAGAGGAGAGTGGGTGGAATGACCTAGAAAGGACAGGCTCGGAGCTGACCAGCCAAGACTGCACATCCGTTTAACCTAAGTCGTCTTCCACTGCCAAGTGGAATGTGCTCAATAAATTTATTTTCCTCTATTCTTTTTTTTTTCCAAAATATTTTTTTTAAAGATTTTATTTATTGGTCAGAGAGAGAGAGAGAGAGAGCAGGAGAGCACAAGCAGGGGGAGTGGCAGGCAGAGGGAGAAGCAGACTCCCTGCTGAGCAGGGAACCCGATGCGGGACCCGATCCTAGGACCCTGGGATCATGACCTGAGCCGAAAGCAGATGCTTAACCGACTGAGCCACCCAGGTGTCCCATTTTCCTTTATTCTTCATAAGCATGAAGTAGCTAGGCTGGTTGATGAAACTAGAGGCACAGAACAAATATGCGATAAAACTGCACACATTTGGGTTTTGAAGCCTACATCTATCTTGTACTTCGTTCCCCCTTCACCATTCACTAAGATCCAGTACAGGCAAGGAAATAAAATTGAGTCCTTGCTTGACGCTATAATTTTTACGAAATGAAATGTTCGCTTCATCTTCTGTGAAGTTTCTGCTAGTATTTCCTCCTTTGGTACATAATACTCTCATTTGTTCATTGAAATATTTGTTTTCTCTTCACTCACACTGCTCTGGGTGATAAGCATAAAATGATAAAAGAAGATTCCCCATCTCCGAGATACCAAAGGATGGTGGTGGGGGCCAGAGAACAATGTGCAGAAGACACTTCCAGTTCCCACGCAAGGTGGGCTCCCAAGCCTGCAGACTATGGTCTGACTACAGACAGAAATAATTGTTCTGAGAAGAATTTCCAGGTTGTTTCCTACCTACCTAGTATGCTTTTTGGGGGAAGGGTATTGTTAATGATACATACTTTCCCATTGTTGGGATGGTGAAGGTGTCATAAGGAAGACACAAAATGTACAACATCGTAGCTAAAAACTGAGCATATTCAACTTATTCTTAAGATTTAAGGTAAAAGCAAACCTCTGATACTCAGGGATTTAGACTTGTGTGTGGTCTCTCTCTCTATTTCTCTTCCCCCCCACCCCGCCATTTCTAGTTATTCTCTTTTTCTTCACCATCTAGCTTTCTTCTCCCTTCTGTTCTGGGGACTTACACTTCCTTCCAGCATCCTCTCTCCACTCAGTCTTTGTCTCTTCTGCTGCCTGTCTCCCCCTCCCCCCCATGCACTCCTTCCCCCTTCCCTCCTTTCCTCAGTGCCTTTCTCTTTGCTCCTCCTTCCAAAGTATCAACCTCCACGTGTCCCATCACAAATGGACCCTCTTCTTTTCTTCCTTTGCCTCCATCTCTCTCTTTATGTCAAATGTGGAATCAGCCTATGTGTATATGCACTAATAACATTATGTATTATTTGCTATATGTAATAAATAATAGTGTTTTCATTTAACTTACAAAGAAGCTGAGTCAAATATCTAATATTCCTATCTCAAAAATATAAAACAAATAGGTTCATGATCTATGTGTGGCCATTAGTTGGTTTGTTTTGTTTTTGTTTTTTTGAAATCTCTGAATCAGCAGAGCCTGAGAAGGGAAAAAGTAACTGCTTACCTCCTACACTACAGAATAGCAACTCATAAAGAACCCCAATGTACCCAGGAAATAACCTCCTTTTTTTATATTTTTCATCAGTGAATTTTTCCCGTATTTAATAAATGGGCAAATGCAACTGGAGTATTTGTGTCTCTATCATAAATGCATTTTTACTTTAATTGGTAATAACAAATTATTCCTCCTGATTTCCTTCTGTTCCATTGTAATTATAAATTCAGGAATTCACCATGATCCTCACTTGTTCATCTAGCAATGTGCAAAACTATTATAGAAACTATATATTCTTATGTAGAAGAAGATTTGTGGAAAACTGCATAAAATGGAAACATCTAAGTTTTTACTGCATCTCAAATTATACTAAAATTTAAATGAAAGAGCATAATGACTAAGAAAAACTATCAGATTTAAAAACTATCAGATTTCAAAAACTAGTAAGCATCATACAAAGGAGTATTTGACTGGGCAAAAGGGTTAAAGTCATCCTTTTACAAAGTTTGGTGATCAGGTTCTATTAAACCAGGTGGGTTACTTTTATTTTTATGCAGATAGCTCTATAAAAATATTTACCACTATAAATAATAATTAATTGAAAATTGAATATGTCTGGATCATACAATTGTACATCCTTGTATTTCTGCATATCCTGAACATGGACTAACAAACCCATGCTCCCATGGAGGCTCAAGTCTCGCCAAGATAATCATTGGTGGCATGGTTTTGTCCAATGGTTAGCAAAGAGGATTTGTAGAAAGTCCGACCTGGGTTTGAATTCCAGCTCTCTTGACACTTACATGGGCAAACTGACTCAGTTACTTATACTTTCAAAGCTTTGGTTTATCTCTAAAATGGAGATGAAATGATAATGATGTTGATGAGGACGTGCACCCAGCTAATTCATCACATGTGCTGAGTGCTTGCCACCAGGTAGGTACTACACTGACTTAACAGACATGTTGTTATTAAATTTTACTTTACCCTATTACTGTCCTCATTTTTTAGATGAGACTTAGGGAAGTAAGAGACTTGCTCAGAATGCACAGGCTAATAAACAGCAGGGTCAGCATTTAAACCCAAGTTGGATGGACTCCAGAGGATGTGCTCTTAACCACTGAAGAAGCAGGACGGGTAAGGGTGTTGGGTGGGGGCCGAGGGGGCAGTAATAATTCTACACGCAAACCAATGTGATAGCAAAATACCCTTAATGAGATATTCACAACAGGCAGGAGAAAAGACAGAAGTTGCTGCTCTTGATGCAGATTTAAATAGCTACCTGCATGCCTCGTGCCCTACATCAGTGTAGTGGAAGAGTCACTTCGAGATGTGATTTTGGATATTTCAGATCTTTAGGATATAGCTTACGCAAGCAGAGGCAGAATGATTCGTCCCTGGTGTCCAGGTGGGCCTTTGTTCTCACAGAGTAATATTCACTTTGAAGAATTAGATCCAGAAGAAAAAAAAAGAAAGAAACACTAGCAGACACATGCGCAGCCTGAGAAACTTGTATGTCCTCACAGTGCTGAGATTCTCCTGCTCTCAAGGCCCCTCCCGAGGCACCACATGGCTGGAGCCACCAGGAATAAGGATCTCGCCACCAGAGCCCCATCAAGAAGTACTCGTTTCCCACATGCTTGGGAAAAACCTCCTCTTTTGCATAAAGGTACCAGGGCACCTCACCTCTGGGAGCTAGTTCTTCCCCCTCAAGCAGCATTAACAAGAGCCAGTGGGAGCCCCAGATGCATTAAATGAACCCAACAGATGAAAAGAGCACCACGTAAGCTCTGAAAATTAGCCACTGCAGCCACTGACCATGCAAGGAGGCCAGGACCCGCATGCCAAACCTAAACAGAGCGACCACTTGTGAAAATAAAACTGCAACAGGCTCTCCTAGCTTCTAACGTAACAGCCAAACTGTCCAGGCTGCAATAGGAAGCCACGCATCATAATACGAACCAGGAAAATCACATCTTGAATGAGAAAAGGCAATCAATCCATGCTAACGCTGAAATGGATCAGATACTGGAATTATCTGTCAAGAATTTTAAAGAACCCATCATAAAATGTTTCGACAAGCAATTACAAATTCTTTTGAGGAGAACAAAAAATTAGAAAATCTTAGTAAAGCAATAGAAGATATAAAAATAACCAAGTGTTGATCAAAGAGCTGAAAAATGCCACGAAAATAGAAAATTGGCTGGGTGGGCTCAAAACGAGAGTAGACATGATGGGACAGATCAGTGAATTTGAGGACAGTTTGAGAGAATTTACTCAGTCTGAACAGAGAGAGAAAACAGACTAAAATAAATAAATAAAAATAAACAGAGCCTCAGAGACCTGCAGAACAACAACAACAACAACAAAAATCCAACCTTATATTATGGGAGTCCCAGGAGGAAAGGAGAAAGAATAGGACTGAAAAAGCATTTGGAAACATAATGGCTGAAAAAATCTCTAATTTGATGAACAATATAAATCCACA